GTTTCAACTTTTTAAGGAAAACATCTAAGAAATCCTCACATTTTTAAAACAATTCTCCTCCAACAATTCAATAAATCTTAGTATACATGCAGTATAGTTTTTGATAACAATATTGTCATTGTACTATAAATAGAAATCTCTGTAATTTTTTAAGACTCAACGTTCAACTTTCAATTTCAAATTCAATAGAAATATGTACTCATGTAGAAGATAATAAAAAAAAAATAACACCGTAAATCAGCTCTTAATTTCGATCAAAGCAGTTGTGATACATGTAGTACCTAAAATAGAATAACATGTGAAGTTCTTTAAAAGTATTTTTCCTCTTAAGTTTTTTTCCCATTTCAACAAAACATGGAACAAAATCAGAAGCCATCAAGCTTCCTTTGCTGTAAGTAAAAGTCAGTAAAACTACAGTCTAATCAGAGACTTTTGGTTAATGTTTTTTATTTTATTTGGATAGTACATTGTTAAGGAAAGATCTAGCATCTCATTTCAAACACTCTGTAGCATTGAACGAACAATAAGCACTTTATTTCAGATTTGCTAAGTTTTAACTTCCTGCATACACTCAGATTATATTTATAAATGAGGACAATAATTTTTTTTCTTCATTTGTTTACACAGGAATGAACGATTGCAGAAAAATACTTGCGGGCTATGTAATTTTTTTCTGCAACAAAATGAAAATATGGATATAACGAACAGTATTCAAACCCAGAGTCAATTTAAACAATACAGATCGGGAGCAGAGCAAACACGGACCTCCAAAAACTTCAGAGGTGGGATCAGGTACCATGGCGGGGGGGGGGGGGGGGGTGAGCATCCCCTGCCGACCGGTCACACCCGCAGTGTGCTCCTGGTCATGATCGGAAAATATTGGGAAAATCCGTCGACAATTCAGTGTGTAATTAAAAGCCTTACAATTAGTATGAAAAACGTCAGTCAGCATATGACTAATGATAAATTGTATTTGCTGACAAGGTCGTTGTATCGACCAAAGAACTTACGGATGATGACTTTAAACGAGACTGTTGATACTTTTGTTTCACCAACTTGTTTGTCAATAACTTACCTCCTTTTAGAAATTGTTCATACATAGAGCATGCTCTTGCATTTCGAATCAAATGAGAGATACACACCCCATATGCAGGTGATGAGGGTATATTGCTGCATAAGTAAGGGAAGTTGACGAGTGAAAAGTAAAAGTCATCACGTTTATCATAAAGCTTTCTGGTTAATTACCATAAACGTCTTTTTTCTAGTAAAATATTCAAATATGAAACAGATGTGTCAGACTCTTTGGTATCTTTTATTTTAAGCTCACTGGGATATTCGTACGACATATGAATGGAAATAAGAATTATTAATTGATAATACGTCGTGGATATATCTAAATGTCGAGTTTAAGACCACAGCAAGAGATTTCTTTTCTCTGACATGTATAAGATTTTGAATACCGGTAAATTCTGCTTCATATGAATACAAAAATAGGTCTGCTAACAACGGGGCGCAATTGGTACCCATGGAAGTTCCAACAGATTGCTGGAAGACCTGGTCTCCAAAAACCACATGGATATTGTTATTCAGAAACTCTAGCATCTTTTTAATATCAAATTCAGAGTACTTGTGTGTACAATTAGAATGTTTATTAACAAAATAATTTTGCAAATGACCAATGACACGGTAAGTAAATTTACGAGTTCTATTTCTATTGAAAAAGCAGCTGTCAATGATGTCAAAAAGCCTGGACTTTAATTTGTCGTGGGGAATGGTTGTATACAGAGTTGAAAAGTCCTAAGTTTTTTGTCATTGATTTTTGGTAAAATTTTGTAATCTCAAAATTTCAAAAAGTTCCTTGGATTTTTAAGTATCCACATCTGATTTACACCACTTCTCGAATATATTGTTGCACATAACTCCTGAAGTTTTCCTTCACTGCTGTTTTACTATTTTAGCGAGGAGTAAAGAAAGAGGCTTGGTAGAACATTTACTGGAATCCGCTATGTATCTTTGTTTGTAAGGATTTTTATCAAGTTTCGGAATCCAATTTAAATATGGTAATTCAAATTCATTTTGGTTGTTGAGAATATTAAAAATATTCAAAACTGACATATGATTTTGAAGAAATTCCTCCTTAGAAAGGGAGCTATGGGTATAAGTTGGATTGCCACTTGTAGAATTAAATCCCAGTTCTTCTAAAATATAATTTAATAATGAGCCTTACAAACAACGACAATGTTGTTACCAGCTTTGTCAGCTGGAACCAGTACATTCTGATCGTGTAGTCCATCTAACTTTTTTTTTCACTTCTGAATAGACACAGAAGGATATATAGTTTTCATATTGCCTCTCAATCGCTTAATGCGAGATTTTAACATACATCTGATACGTTAAATCCATTTTGACAAAGTGTCAAGGTCTTCTTTTCATGTCTGGTCCATCGCCTGACGTAATCTTCCACAGCACAGAATTCATAGTATTTATGAAATTATGGCTCCAGTTGAAAGATCGGGTTTTCTAAATTTTTGCCCTTTTAAAATAAGTGATTTAAGGTCCTCATTATTAACTATATTTACGTCATCAGTAATAACGTGTCCAGCTGGACTATAGTTGTAGGGTGGAGAAGAACATGAAAACGATGGACGATTATGTTTCAGATGCTCAATATTCAGGCTCTGTAAAGTTTTCTTGTAATATAAAAGTTTGGAAGAAATAGTCAAACAACTTTTCATTGTTTTTATCTCTACCTGTTTCAAATTATTCGATAAAAGTGGGCAAAATTGCATTATCAATCCCTACGTTACATTGATGTTAGAGTCATGAAACAGCTTGCCTTTGACACATCTTAAAAATATCAAATATACAACAAATCTAACTAGTTTAATTAGAAGTTAACGATTTTCATGAGAAATTTTTAAAAAGTATTCAGTGGAAGTAAATATTATTAACATATTTGAATGGAGATTGCAAAGAAAAACCTGTTTTCTCATTGAATTATAGTCATATTCCTCTTTGAGAATCTCTGTCAATACGGGTTGTGTCTAAATATCAGGAGCCTGAGGTACATATGAATATTTATGAGATGCATCTAATGAATAAAAGGTATCCGATCTATTATTTTATCTATTATATTTTCAACATAGGGTACCTTGCATTTACCCCCAGGAAAATTGTTCAAAGACAATAAATTACTTATGAACAGAAATCACGTTTGTATACTTAAGTGGGCAAAATACATCTTGACCTATTACAATATTATGAACTTGGTTTGACAACAAATTCAGTAAGACACTATACATTTCAATTATTTATTTTTCTAAATTAGAGGGCAGTTTACTCTGTCTGCATAAAAATACCGCAAAATCAGAACTCTTTATAGTGCAGTGTGCAGATACCCCTTAAAATGCTTCTCTTCCTTTTTTTTGTCTGATTTCAAAACAGCTTGGTACACATAACTTTATCATTTTTTTCATGAATGGAGTAACCATGCATGGTTACGAAAAATAAAAAATTTCCATAAACGTTCTTCATAAATGCTAGCATGAGGCTATATTATGAAAATACCATCAATTTAAAAAAGAAATTTATGTAGATCTGCCTTTTAAAAAAATACTATCTCTTTATTAAATAAATCTCAGAACAGAGTTCCATAACAAACATTTTAACCATTACTAACAAAATGAACAATTGAACATGCTGAAGTCTGTTTCATCTATCTATAGATACATGTAGGAAGCACTTCTGTACATGTATACTCAGCTTTAAATCTGTAGATTTTTCAATATGTGTAATTCAAAGACAGACAAACTTGTAACATAAGGAGAGAAGCCTTGAGGAGGAGAGGGGAATAAGTAGAAGACTAATAGACTGTATAGGGTCGTATTAAATTAATAAAAAAGGATCGAGGGGGGAAGCTAAACATTGACTTGGAACATTTTTTTTTACAAGTTTTACATTCCGTAATATTTCAAGTTTTATCGAAAACAGTTAAAAACTAAAGGAGCAGATATCGGGAAAATTGTTTATTTGAAATTTCTGTATGTAGTAACCATGGCAGGGCCGCACGTTCATCAAAAACTGATAAACAAAATTATGTGTCTTAGTGTAATATATTTGTGATGAATTGAATTGTTGTATTATTGAAATCAGACCAAAAATTATACGAGGAGAATTGTTTTAATAGAATTTCAGATCTGTTTTTCGTTACTAAGGTAACCAATCGTCAAAATCAAAAATCATCGTTAATTAAGTATATATGTGTACCAGGTTTTCTTGAAATCAGACCAGAACTCTAAGAGGAGGAGTGTTTTCAAAGAACAAAAATATGCAGTTTTTTTAACCTTGCTTACACGATTTTGAGTAAAATTTCGAAAAGAGAGTTATATATCTTGATGACGTCTATTTCCTGAATTCAGAGAAAAACTGAAGTAGTGATGGGATTTTGAAAAAAAATGTTTATATAATGACTGACATGCAGGCGGAAAACGAACACTCTTCCATCTCATAGACACTTCTTCTAGTCTCAGACAAGTAAAGCTAAAAATTACTTCCTTTAGCAAGTAAAATTTATGATAAGAAATTTCTGACAGTCGTGAAGGTTCAATGCTGGAAAGTACATGTATAAGAAGATTACTAAATTATTGGACTCCCGAATAGTAATATTTCTTGATTTACCTACAGTGAACCCGATAGAAGCATGGAACAGATTGTGCAGCACCAGTCTACTCCCGAGGAACCAAGAGAATCTGATTCAACATCTTCGGAAGAAACTGACATAGAAACAGAAAACAATCAATCAAATGATCCACCAATAAGAAAAAGTATGAATAAAGCATGTAGTTGCTCATTATTTTGTAATCCCCTTACCTCCTCAGTAATATAAAGTTTGTTCAGTATTTTGGCGTGAAAGCAAAATTCACCAATTAAAATGGTTTAGGTGATCATTTAGCTCGCAGCAAATATAATTAACTGAAATGACTCTTTATTTTTATAGGTAAAAAGGTTGTAACGAAAGACGAGGACAACTTCCTGCGATATTTCTTGCTGGCTCATCTCGCAGTTGATGCTGCTAGAATCTGGTTCGATTCGGTCATTCCACCCAATAAATTAGAAAAACATCTAAATAAACATAGGAAAAAGTCTCTGAAGAAGTGCAGTGATGAACAAAAGGAAAAGCTATTTTCAGGTTTAAGATATTGGAATATCATAAAGTTTTTCTCTGCTAAAATTAATTCATAATTTATTTGCTTCATATATATATAAGAAAAAGTATAAATAAAGCATGTAGTTGCTGGGGCGGAAGTGGGTATCCTTATAAAAGTGAATTTCTTTGTGCTTTCTATATTAATATTTCTTCACTTAGGGCAGTTATGTTAGTTTAAGAGTTGTTGTAAATTGTGCTTTATAAATAAAATTAATTTCATCACAACGTGTATTGGTAACGATCCTCTAATAAAACTAATGTCCAAATAACTGTATCTCACTTCTATTCTCAATGACCGTGTAGTGTAGGGCAGCGCTGTAAGAATTCCATCGGCATCGAAAGCAAGTTTTTTGACTTGCCTAGATAGCCGAGCGGTCTAACGCGCTGTTCCTGTATTGCTAGGAGACAGATTCCGTAGGTCGAGAGTTCAACCCCGGGCTGGGGCGGAAGTGGGTATCCTTCTAAAAGTGAATTTCTTTGTGCTTTATATATATATATATATATATATATATATATATATATAATGTATGTGTGTGTGCATTCTGCGCTGATTGCCTCATGTCGAGGAACAAAGGGGCTAAGCCCGTCGTTTTGTTACTATACGTATAATTATGACGTTTAAAAAAGGAAATTAGCTACTGTGTTTTGGTGACATTTTAGTCACAAGAGAGATATTACTACCAGGCTTTGAATGGCCCTTTTCGGTACAAGTTCATGTATCCTTTCAAATGGGGAATTTATATCGAAAAATAAGTTGCAAAATTTGGAAATAGTGATGAAATATATATTTTACTGTAAAATAATGACAATTAGATTGTAGGCTTATCCTCTATGCACATTTTTATATAATCTCAAATTTCAATATTGTTGATTAAAAGCACTGAAAATTCCATCTGCCTGTCATTTGGGAATTTTTACTTTAATTTTGGTAAAAAAGAGTCAATTTTCAATTTGAACAGGGTCCTTTTACTGCACCTGCATGCAAGGGATATTAAGCCTTGACTACCATTGTGCTTTTTGAAGCGTGCAACAGTGCAAAATCTGTAGTAAAAATAAACTTTACTTATCACAGCAAATCCGGTGACATCATCAAATTTTGACATCACACTTATCTACAAGTTAATACGGAACACAACAGAGGTGAAAAAACCAAGAAAAGGATGGGGAGAAGAACCGGATTCCTCAGACACTGAGCCAGCCGATGATCTAGAAAGGGTCCGGATATGTCGAAATTCACTCTGTCACTGTCCACCGTCAATCAACGACAAAATGTTTGAAGAAGAGTGGAAGGAAATGTCTGCAGTAAGTCTTACAGGCGTTATATATTTCTTCACGCCAGTTTAGCCTATTGGTATTTTTTATTACTTTACAGAGTAATCTTATAAACACTGCATGAGCAGGGGAAAAAAGATTTTCATAAAGGAAGACTTGTTATAATATTATCCATATCTCGATCTATACATTCCAGGCCTATTTTACGCATCTCGGGATAATTTTCTGAAAAATTTACAGATGTTACTTAATGAAGATAATGAAACTTGTATAGAACTTTATTTCAACAGCTGCAACTAAGATAAGTCTTTTAATTTTAACTTAATATGGTTTTGCAATGAGACTGGTTAAACCTTTATTTTTTCTTGTTTTTGCTGATAAATTTTTTGACCATGCAGGAGTTTTGTAAAATTTATTTCACAATTTTGTCTTTCAGTTCAAAAATATCTGAGTGTACACTGGAAGAAATTTTTGCTATCTTCTTGAAATATAACTTCCTCCAGGGATACTGTAGTAACCAATATTTTTCTTATATTTGGACAATTGTTTAATCTTATTTCTTTATTTTAAGGTGGTCAGCAGACTCGGAAAAGGTCAACTAGATGGAGAATTAGACATGTTAAAAACAAAAAAATTAGATCACTCAACAGGAAAGAACATAACTCTGGAATCCATGGCATTGAAAGAGAGATTAGATATTCTGGAGGTGAAATTTGATGACCACATTCCCAAAAACTTAAGAGGTAATGAGGAACCCTACATTTCTGTCTTTCAATAAACATTCTTTTTATCAATAGCAAAAACTAACATGGATGCAAAACTTGCAGTCAAATATCAACGCTTTATATGACAAAAAATGTATCTTTGTAGGAATATCAACGAGTATTGGAGTACATGACTATCTCTCTATAAAACCGACTATTTTTTGCTCGGTTACTGTTGAAAATGTGCTATTTCATTGTAATTCTCAATTCAAGTTAATCAATGAGATTTTTTCAGATGTTCTTTTTTGGTATCAAAGCTAAGATTCCCCTCTTGTATTAATAAAAATAAGTTGCTTGATTTAAGTATTTTATGTACAATCAGTTTGAAAGAACATAAAGTTGTACTGACATAAGGGAAATTATTTTGAAGAGTACTCGACTGAAGCCCCCGATTATTCGACTAGACTTTCCGAGCGAAATTAACATTCCTATATCTTAGCTACGTTTGACGTCTCATGTTACATATACATGTATAACAAAAAATATATGATCAATTTTGTCCTGAAACTTGATAAAAAGTGCATCATGAACATATATAATCTAAAGACCTTTTACCTTCATTCAATACAGGTGCGATTATTACAGTAACTGTATGCATGGTAATATAGCATACCAAGTTGAAATTTTACCACAATGATCTCAAACGATTTCAACGGTTAATTCATTTGGAATTGTACATAGTATCTACACACTATCAATTAAAATGTTTGGCAAGCAGCTTGAACATTCAATTTAAAAACACTTTCAATATTCCTTTAATTTCCCTCTTTAGAAAGATATTGTAAAAAGATGTCTCTATCAAAAAAGAGTATGTTTGCTTTGAAAAAATATAATGGCTTTTATATATTTTTTATTTTCAGATCTAGAAATTGACAGAATGAAAAAATAATGATAATGGTTTTGAATTTTTCGTATGAAAATATCCCTTCAAAATATATTCCTAAGTCTGATAGAAATGAAGATCGTTAGATGTAAATTAGATATGCAATAATTTTTCTCTGTTTAAGAGTGTCACCCGTTATGTTGAATCTTTCAATGTGGAATGGACTTAGTCACCTTCATATAATTAACATTTTGTATATTCAAACATTATTTGTAATTTGTTGTAATATGAAATTGATGATTAATTCAAATGGGATCAATTAAGTCTGCATCAAATAAAATATTTTTTTTAAATTCCAATAATGTTCATTTAAATACCAATTTCATGTCAATAAAGGAAGTGTTGTATAAAGCTTAAGAATGTACAACATTAAAAATCGAAAAGTATAGCTTTACTAGGTTAAAGAAAATCGATTGTTTGTCAATATATTAACGTTTAAACATTTTTTCATTCCACAGAGCAGTTTGAAATTGAATTAGGAAGATGGCGAGAAGATGACAAACTCTTTTACAAATTCTTTGCTTATGCATCAATTAGAGAACAAATCAATTCTAAAAGCTATTTGACAGTGACTGGTGGTAGTGGTGCTGGGAAGACGTACCTCATTCGCCACTTGGCGCTGAATCTTGCCCAGGAAGGATTCGAGGTCATTCCGTCCTCGTCAATTGACGAGGTCCTTCAATGTGGAAAAGTTAACACTAAACAAGTATTTGTAATGGACGATGTCTTGGGTGTACACGGTTTAGATATTAATTTGTATAACAATGTGACGGCTAAGCAAGATCGAGTCTTTAATCTACTTAATTCTGGGTCAAAATTGTTAATGAGTTGTAGGTCTGTTGTATTTAAGGAGGCCATATCACTCAACAGTTTTATAACAGATAATGATCACGTTGTGAATTTAAGTCACAAAGATTATCAACTAAATGAAAATGACAGAAAAAGTATATTAGAGAATCACTGTAGATATAGGACTGTAACAAAAGAGTGTTACGAAAATTTAACTCTGTCTCATCCCCTTTCTATGTTCCCACTCTTATGTAGGGTATTTTCATCAGATCCAAAGTATCAGAAAGAAGGTGAACACTTTTTTAATCAGCCATACGAGTGTTTCTTTTCAGAGCTTGACAAAATGCAACGGATAAAGGAGATACATTATGCAGTTCTTGTGTACTGCGTCATGAAAAATAACTGCATCTCTCCAACAACATTGGATAAAAAATGTTTGGAGGAAATTTACGAATGCTGTGGAATAAACGCATCGACATCCAAATGGAAAATTAGAGACATTCTTGATGTATTGGAAGGTTCGTTCTTAACAAAGGATACGGAAGGGAGATTTTCAATCATTCATGAAAAGTTGTGTGAAATTGTGGCTTTGCATTTTGGTAAACATTTTCCTTATTGTCTTTTTCAGAATGCAAAACTTGGTTTTATATATAGATTCATATCTTTTTCTGATGATGCAGAATACAAAATTGTTGTATCTCCAGATAGGTTCCCTGCTTTGATCAGTCGCGTCATCAGTGACATCAGAAGATTTCATTTGTATGAGGTATTTAGTAGTGATATATGGAAACATACAAGTTTTGTTGAGATGTTTTGTGATACCCTAAAAAAGTTCACTCTTGATGAAATAAAAGAACTGTTGTCTATTGAAGAGAACTGTACGTATTTAGAAGATAAAACTCGGATGTTTCTTGAGGACACTTTGAAAAGGGATTCAGAGATGGCAAAAAATGCAATAGCCTTTCCGCTTGAGTACAAGTTTTTTCTCTTGCAGAATTCATCAAGAGTTTTGCATTGGATAATTGTGTTTGGTCATGGTAATTTTTTATTTAAAATCACAGAAATACTGAAGGCACGACTTCCTGACCAAAGCAGATCTTTTCTATCCAATTTCAAAAGAAAGTTAAAGATGCTATCTTCAGACAAAGATGCTTCAGATGATGAAAACTTATCATCAGTTCTCTATGGTAATGATCTAGATTCACAGACCAGGTGTCTGCTACTGGCTTGCTTTAGTGGCTGTGTGGAAATGGTACAACTTGTTATACAGTTCGTAGAACCTGGATGTGTAAATCATTATGTTGAGTATTTCACACCTTTGATTGTTGCATCACTCTCGGGTTATGACGAAACTGTCATTGTTTTGTTAGAAAAAGGAGCATATGTCAATCAGTGTGCAGGGAAGACTAACATTTCACCACTTATGTGGTCTTGTACATTTGGTCACTATAAAGTTTCACAGACCCTCGTTAGTCATGATGCGAATATCAATCATTGTGATAAAGACGGACGTACTTCATTGTATTGTGCCTCCTGTTTTGGTCATCTGGAAATTGTGAAATATCTGGTTAATAGTGGTGCTGATGTCAATCTCTCTGATAAGGATGGAGTTTCTCCATTGTATACAGCTTCAGGTAATGGTAAAGTGGCGATTGTAGAATATCTTATTGAGGCTGGAGCCAAAGTTAATCTCTGTAATAGGTATGGAAAGTCTCCATTATATAAAGCTTCGGGTAATGGTAAACTGGATATTGTGAAATATCTAGTTAAGGTTGGAGCCAAAGTCAATCTCTGTGATGAGGAGGGAAGGTCTCCACTATATGAAGCATCAGCATATGGTCAAATAGAGACTGTGAAATATTTAATTACGGCTGGTGCTGAAGTCAATCTCTGTGATGAGGACGGAAGGTCTCCACTGTATAAAGCTTCGGGTAATGGTAGACTTGATATTGTAAAGTATCTAATTAAGGTTGGAGCCAAAGTCAATCACTGCAATGAAGATGGAAAGTCTCCACTGTATGAAGCATCAGCATATGGTCAAATAGAGACTGTGAGATATTTAATTACGGCTGGTGCTGAAGTCAATCTCTGCGATGAGGACGGAAGGTCCCCGCTGTACAAAGCATCAAGTAAGGGTAAACTTGAGGTTGTAAAGCATCTTCTAGAAAGTGGAGCTAAAATTAATTTTTGTAAAAAAGATAGGAAGTCTCCACTCCTTGTGGCATCAATTTATGGTGATCTGGAGACTGTGAAATATCTTATTAAGAATGGAGCTGAGGTAAACTTCTGTCGTGAAGGCGGATGGTCTCCACTAATAGCAGCATCAGGTCAAGGTCATCTGGAGATTGTGAAATATCTTATTCAGAATGGTGCTGATATTAATACGAGTTGTTTGTCTTCTGCATGCCATGGTGGACATATGAATATTGTAGAATACCTTGTCAATAAGGTGGATGTTAATGCGGTGACTGCTGGGCAGTATTCTCCTCTCCGTAAAGCTTCCCGAAGGGGACATCTAGATATCGTTAAATATTTAGTAGAACATGGCGCAAAAGTTAACTTCATAGAGTCTACCAGTAAAAGTCCATTATATTCTGCTGTAGAATATGATCAAATGCAGATTGTTGAGTATCTTATTGAACAGGGTGCTAAGGTAAATCAGTCTGTTATTGAAATTTCCAAACAGAGGGGACGCAAAGAGATGGCAGATTATCTTATTGAGAAAGCGTCAAGACAGGAAGAAAATTAGATGCATTTTAGCCAATTAGTTAATGAAAATTAAAAATAAACGCAAATTATTTAGAGTATACAGGTAATGTCGATGGGCATATATGTGTTTTATTCAAAAGTATTATGGTGTGGAAAGGGGATTATAAGATAAACATCAAAAAATATGTTAATGCACTCCATGCCGTATTCAATGATATTTTTCTTAGTCTTAATCTTGAATTACATATTTTTGTACAGATATAATTTTGATATTTTCATTAGTTCACATGTTTTTTATCATTTAAATCTGCATGCTCATGGCATGAATATAAGTTGAATCAAATCTCTTGAATAATTTTGTACCATTTGTAATAAAGGAATAGGAATCAATGATATCGATGTACTTTGGAATAATTTATATTTGTGTGAATCAATTTTTGGAGTATAATTTTGATTTGCATTTGTAAGAGTTGAAATAGCTACAGTTGCCATTTGAGTTTCAACAAATAACACTCAATTTGCCAGGTCTGAGCATAATCAATTGTTCACAAGTTTACAATTGTATATTACAATTCTATCTTTTAATACTTCCTATTACATGTAAAAGTTGAACTTTCGTGTGCATTTTTTAATGTTTTTTTTAAATTCTTTGAAATCTTATGTTTTAAGTAATGGACTTCGCTAAATCAATAAAGAATGGTAGCTTTGGGACAAGATATTCTTTTTATTGTACATCTTCAGGGCAATCACCATCAGCATCACTATCAGATGAGCTAACTAATAAAACAGATTTAAGAAGATAAAATCAGTAAGTGAAGGTATTAATTAAATTAAATTTGACCTCTAATTATTTTTCAGCAGATCAGGTCAAGGTCATTTTCTTTTTCCTTAAGGACATACACTTTCAACAACAATACACTTTCCAATCATGGAAGGCCTCCTTCTAAATATCATATCAATTTTTTCTTCTTGCATAAAAAGCTGATACCACATAAGGTCTAATCAGATAATACCTTAAAGACTTTGATTGTTTATAAACGTGAAATAAATTCATTACTCTATAGTAAATATGAAAATTAGAACATGCGATATTTTCGTACGCCGTCGTTCCGTCAGAAATATAGTCCCTGCTAGATTTTAAGCTTATTTTATCATTTCTATACAAAGCTGTTTTTTGTGAAAAATTTAACCATACCCCTATTCTTACTCCTCACCTAAATATTACCTGTTGTGAGAAACTTCAGACATATTGTGCTACAACCTATTCAAGAAGTGGTGTGGATTCTAAAAAAAATCTAAAGAACTTCTAAAAAATAAATCTAAAGAACATGTGGAAAACTTGAAGTCTCAAAATAACGTCAAAACATATGACTTTTCTACCCTTTATGCAACCGTTTCTCACCATAAAGTAAATAGCAGTTTTTTTTTGACATCATAGACAACTGCTTCCTCAATAAATATGGAACTCCTAAATTTTCATACTCTGAAGTTGATATTAAAAAGATGCTGAAGTTCCGCATTTACAATATCTATGTAGTTTTTTTGGAGACCAGGTCTTCCAACAAACTTCTGAAATTCTGATGGGCACTAATTGTGCTCCTTTATCGGCTGATTTGATTTTATATTCTTATATGAATCAGAATTTATTTCTAAAAAATTTACATGAGAAGAAAACACTTGCTGTGGTCTTCAGCTCGACATTCCGATACATTGTCTATTAATTATAGTAACTCCCATTCATACATCTAGGTCGATACGTTATAATAAACCAAGTGAACTCGAAATAAAAGACACTGCAGGGTTGGCCACATCTGTTTCATATTTGGATGTTTTACTTACTTTAGACGATAAGGGCCAACTAACAACTTTTAAAATTGTACGATAAACGAGATAACTTCAGTTTTTCTATCGTCAACTTTCCTTATTTAAGTAGTAAAATTCTTTCACCTGAATATAGGGTTTAGGTCTCCCAACTTATTCCAAACGGAAGAGCATGCTCTGAGTACTATAAATCTTTAAACCGAGGCAGGCTACTGACAGATAAGTTAATGTTACGGGGATTTAACAACCTCCTTTAAAGGCAGCATATCTTAAATTCTATGGTCGTTATAATGACCTTGTTAGCAAATATATTAACCTATTATTGGGTCGCATTTTGGCTGACATTTTTAGCTCATCTGAGGCGAAGGCTTAAGTGAGTTTTTTTCTAATCGAAGAGTGTCTGGTGTCCGTTTGTGGTCTGTTGTCCGTCGTGTGTCTTCTGTCGTCTGTAAACTTTTCACATTTTCGACTTTTTCTGAACCACGGAGCCAATTTCAACCAAACTTACCACAAAGCACTCCTGAGTGAATGGGATTCATATTTATTTAAATGAAACACACATCCTTTTTCACGGGGAGATAAAAGAGAATTACTGAAGAATTGATGGCATCTTTTAAAAATCTTCTTCTCAAAAACCATTCTGTGTGTAGATTCAAATTTGTTCAAAGCATGACCCCTGGGAGTAGGGCGTGCCACACCAGGGGATCTAAGTTTTCCATAGGAATATATATAGGAAATATCTATAAAAATTTCCTCTCAAGAAAAGCAAATCCATTATTAGTCATATTAAAACATAAACTCAGGTAGTGTAGATTTAAATTTGTTCAAATCATGGCCCCTGGGGGTGTCGCAGGGCCACAACAGGAAATCAAAACTAACATAGAAATATATAGGATAAACCTTTAAAAATCTTCTAAAGCTCTTAGTCAAAGAAATATGGAAGCATCCTCAGTTATTGTAGATTCAAGTTTGTTCTAATCGTGCCTCCCACCCACCCCCACCCCCCAATCCGGGGGGGGGGCAGTTTGGGACCACTTACATATTTAAACTTTTCAATAATTATGTGATTTCTGCTTTTCTCTGGCCAAAGTGCTCAGGTGAACAATGTGACACATGGGACTCTTATTAGCTCACCTGAGCCGGAGGCTCAAGAGAGCTTCTCTGATTGAAAAGTGAACGGCCTCCGTCTGTCTGTTTCTGTGCCTGTGGTCTGTCGTGTGTTGTCTGTAAACTTTTCAATTTTCGACTTCTTGGCCAATTTCAACCAAAGTTGTCAAAAAGCTTTCTAGGATAAAGGGGATTTAAGTTTGTTCAAAGGAAACATCACAGTCCACATCCTTTTTCAAGTGGAGATAATTAAGAATTTGAAAATTTGGTGACATCTTTTAAAAAACCTTCTTCAAAACAACCACCTGGCCAGAAAAGATGAAAGCTTCGATTCAGGTTTGTTCAAATCATGACCCCCGTGGGTAGGACGGGGACACAACAGGGTATCAAAGTTTTCCATAGGAATATTTAGGAAATATTTCAAAATTCTTCTTCTCAAGAACAGCAAAAGCATTATTAGTCATATTAGAGAATCATTAGGTAGTGTAGATTTAAGTTTATTCAAATCATAATCCTCAGGGGTAGGGTGGGACCACAACAGGGGATCAAAGTTTTCCATATATGGGACAACTCTTTTCTTAATCTTCTCAAGAACAGCAAAGCCATGATTACTTATATTAAATCAGAAGCATTGTCAGGTAGTGTAGATTCAAGTTTGTTCAGATCATGCATATGACCCCCAGGGTTAGAGTGGGGTCACAACAGGGAATCAAGGTTATACATGGGAATATATAGGAAAATCAGAAAGAAAAAGGAAACGCAGGGTAAACTTTTGAAGTGAATTAATGCTATTTTTTCGAACGTATTTTCCAGTATTGTCATCTAACATTTAAACTCATCTTTACTCAACAAGTTACTAAAATCTCATTTGATTTTGACTGATAATTCATGAGATATTGAAAATCATATGACGGCACCCCCCAGTGAAAATAAAAATTGTCATAATCTCCCTCGCGCATCTGTCACAGTCTTGATTCTCCACTGCATGGAATTCATCATTGCATTTATCTTTATCATAGAAATATTATTCAACTCTTCCGAGAGGGCAGTCCTTAATTGGCCGAGAGTAGCTGGGGATTCTGACGTCATCAATTCCTACCGTCCAGTTGTTTCCACATATTTTCGATTTGGCTTTTTACCACTTTCCCTAGGTGACATCACACATTTCACGGTTGAGTAATTTTGAACACTGATTTAAGTGCACAGTAACCAAGATACACCTCTGACCATTTTTCAAAAATTTCTGCCACGTAGTCAAAAATATTTCGCGTATAGTTTTACCCTGCGTTTCTTTTTCTTTTCAGTATATCTTTAAAAATATTATTCTCAAGAATAATCAGTCATATTTATATGGAGTCATCCTAAGATAGTGTAGGTTGAAGTTTGTTCAAATCATGACCCTTAGTGTAGCATGGGGTAGAAATAGGGGAGTTAAATTTTACATCGGAATGTATTAGTAGGAGTCTTTAAAAATCTTTTCCCCAGGAACAGCAAAGCCATGATTAGACTTATTTATATGATGCGTCTGCAGGTAGTGTAGATTCAATTTGTTAAAATCATGACCCCTGAGAGTCGGGTGGGGCCACAATGGGCAATCAAAGTTTTACATAGGAATACATAGGAAAAATCTTTAAAAATCTTCTTAAGGACAGCAAAGCCATAGTGTAGATTGAAGTTTGTTCAAATCATGACCCCCTAGGGTAGGAGAAAGAATATGCCAGGAAGAGCAAGTCATAGATAAAGGGTCATAGTCACTCAGGTGAGCGTTGTGTCTCATGGGCCTCTTGTCATAACAGTTGATAGGCCTTTGTTGACTATGAATATTCCGTTAACCTGATCAATACTTCGGGCTCAAGGCGGGTGTGACCGGTCAACAAGGGATGCTCCCTCGTCCTAGGCACTTGATCCCCATTCTGGAATTGAAGTCATTAATCTTTGTACTGTAAGAGTTACCTCTTTCATCAGAGGGCGAATAAACTTTAATCTCATTGTTTCTATGACCCAAGTTTTAATGTTATAGGGATTTCAAGTTATGGCTAGAAGAGATTTTTTCAATTTGACGAACACTAGATTTCAAAAATAGGTCCGGTTAAATTGTTTTGATGAATTGCTCCTCATCATTATGTCAACTTTCCATGATCTAATTATGAAGTCGGGTTCTCAAGTTGGGGCTTGGATGATGTTCGGAAGAAGATTGACTTAAGAAATGGATTAAGGTAAAAAAAAATTATGGTACCTCATCTTTCTTTGTTCCAAGTTTGAATTCCTAATGACAAA